AGAAAACTAAGACTCTATTTGCTTCTGCCTTCCTCCTTTCCAAAGTGAAAAAGAGAGTTTTTCTTTTCTTCCTTTGGCTGCTTTGGGTCTTCATTGCTGCACGCGGGCTTCCTCTAGTTGCAGCGAGCGGGGGGCTACTCTTTGTTGCGGTGCATGGCTTCTCATTGCGGTGGCTTCTCTTGTTGCAGAGCACGGGCTCTAGGCACACAGGCTTCAGTAGTTGTGGTGCACGGGCTTAGTTGCTCCGCGGCATGTGGGATCTTTCTGGACCAGGGATTGAACCCGTGTCCCCTGCATTGGCAGGCGGACTCTCAACCACTGCACCACCAGGGAAGCCCTACTTTTGGTGTTTATTAAAGTGTTTTCTTGTTTTCCGCCATATTCTCTAAATTCCGGGCTGTGCTCATTTGCATAGAGGACATATCATAATAATTCATTGACTCTTGCACTGGGGCTTCCCATCCCTGTGGTTTTCTGATGATGCCTCCCTGGGCCAGCAGGAAGCCCACACAGGGAAGAGCACACTATTTCCTCTTTCTGCTTCAGGGGAAATGAGTGACTTGCAGAGGAATTTAAGACCTATTCTGTAAACTTACATTAGTAAATGCGTTAGGACCAGAGAGGGTTTTCAGGCTGGGCCACTAGTTTCTGTTTGCAAAAGGAGTTAATCTGACCTTAGTTTAGTAGCTGAAAGTTAAACAGCCTATTGAACAAACCCCAGGTGGATTTCGGTACCCTTTAGTAACAGTGGCATTTGAGAATGAACACATTCAGACAGTAGAATTTTCCATATGTCATTTATTTAAACCAAAATCAGTTTATATTTTCAAGGGTGTGGATTTCAAAGATACAAAAAGAAATTCAAACCATTTTGTTCAATATCTATAAAAACTGAAATTACATTTTGCTGTGGGTGGGGCGGGAGTGGACCCTGTAACATGGGAAATTGCTTCACTGAAATTCAAATGCTGTGTGCAAAAACTAACTCATTTTGTTTTAGGATTGGCTGAAATGTTTAAGGAGCCCCGATAAAATATAAGAATTAATTAGCTAAAAGTCAAGAAGTATAATCACAGTTCATACTATGTGAACGGTCAGCGCATGAGCCACAGTAATGAGATCTTTGCAACCTCGCCTGCGTCCGGCCACTTGATCATTGCTCTTTGGAAGCACTTTCAAAAGTACATTGTGTTATTTTGGTGACTGGCACAGGTCTTGCTTATGTATAAAAATCGGACAAGGTGGCTTATCTGCTTAACAGTTTCCAAGTTTGTTGCATAGAGATGTATGGCTTTGCCCAAGAACTTGGTGGGACACAGGTCTCAGGGTTGTGGCATTTTCAGATCAGTGTAAGCCCACTGTATAAAGTGTTCTAATCTACTTTTTTGTTGTTGTTTTTGGTGAGTCTGTATTTTTGTGTATAAATTACGGCTTACAAGTATGACCTAGATGAAAACCAGGGGAAATTGGCAGTGGCAATTACTAATTCCAAATGTGAGAGATTGACAGTGGCAATTAACCAATTCTAAATGTGAGAAGAATGATAAAGACCTCACTGAAAACAAAGCTGAACGCAAGCTTGGATTTTGGACTCAAATCTGTCACTTAATAATTGTGTCATGCTGCGCGAGTGACCGAACCTCAGGGACCAGTTTTTCAGTACTGTGAGGATGAAATGAAAACCACAATGCATTATTCTGATTTTCCCTACCCCAGAGAATTGTGTAGGAAACAAAACTGATGAAATGTTTTCAAAGAAATCCACGTGGGTAAAAATCTATACAGATTTGAACATGTTTGAGAAGCTAATAACATCTTTCAGCTCCTGACCTGAAACTTTCAGATGTGTGTGATCATCACAGTAAAAGGACTTTTAGTTTTTGGTACTTAAAGCCCTTCTATAGGGTGCAAGGTCTACCCACCAGCGCACCGGGACTAGTACATGTGTTGTTACAATGAAAGTCACAATGATATGCTTCTTAACTTCTTAATTATTCACCCCCCCAAAGGCAATTACTTATATTTTAGAAGAAGTAGGACTCTGTAGTGAAAACACACAGACCTGAAAGCAGTGCATTAAGTATTTTATTAATTTCTTTTTACATTATGGGAAACATTCATCTATTTACAATTTTTTTTTTGTCCACACACAGTCTAGGTAGATAAGCCTATGAAATTCCAATTCATAAAGCCATAAAAATGTTCCCCACCCCTCCATCTGAAGGCTTTCAAATGAATCTTTTTTTTTTCCAAACCAAAATAATTTTTAAAAATTACATTTGGGAATTCAGATATGCTAGTGATTTACATTCCAGTTATTTAAAATATGCATCTAGACAGCTTTTAAAAAAGAAATGGTAAATTCACAAGGATAAGGCTTAAATTAAAGTGGTAATGCACAGTAAAACATTAAGGAAACATCTATAAATAACAGAAATATAGTACAAATAAATTAGTTCTATTTACCATTTCAAATATTAAAAATCTTTAATCCATTTCTTCATCTCTCTTTACAAAAAGGTTATGTGAGTTGTATGGAAACATCTGCAAAAAATATAATAAATACTTAATTTCTTTTAACGTTTTTTGATGTGGGAGACAAACTTCTTTTGTAATCCCCCCTCCCCAAGAAAATGCCCAAACACCTTTATACCAAAGTTAAACAAAATAAGTAATTTTTCAGGGTACATACATTTTCCAATATGAACTAAAAAACATTTCTACAAATTACATCAGAAGAACAATGTAACAAAGGTTATGGTCATGGATGTCAGCTTAAGGGGGCAAGTGATTAACAGGCAGCTTTATGTGGGATCATGTCTTAACATCAATAATTAGCCTTTTATAAAGTGTTTGTACAATTGGTGTTTTCAAGGAAGGCAAAGGTCATGGTGCCTGGAGGCCTTCGGCTAAAAGATTTAAAATTCTTACCAAAAATAGCTTATGAATATACAAATACCATTCACATAGACAAGATAAATAGGCCATCTCTTGTCTCTCTTTAAAATATCCTGGGCTAAACCAGCTTGCAAAGAAAATATTGTAGGATGATCTTGAATCGTATTAGAAATCTATTTCTTAATCCAAATCTTATCTCTACCTCAGGGCACAGAGCTGTGGATGGGGACATCTGGTCTTCAAATGGATGTGGCTTCCTTCACGTTAATCTGAGTTCCGAGTCACTGTCAGGGTTGAATGAGACCATAGGCTACCCAAGGTGGCAGTTGGCCTTACTTGATGCAAACTTTGTGTGACCTTCCTTGGCTGCTACAGAGTAAAGAAAAGGTGTATTCTTTTTAAAACCAGCAATACTTGAAGCTCAAATTGTCTGTCTGCTCCAATTTTATAAAGCACTCAAAGGTGCTTTGTTCACCCTAGTTAAAAGTTGGTTGGTTGGTTTTTAAATGTTAGTAGCCCTTGTCTTGTAAACCACAGCAGTAAACATTTGTGCCCTGTTTATAAAGATAGCTCAAAGCATCAATGGCTCTGAGAGGTAGCGAATTCTCTAGTGGTTTTAGAATATGTCCATGAAAATAGTTGTTGCCAGAACCCATCACCTCTCTTAATTGCTTAAATAAAATTAAATTAGCACCTGGCTATGAGAGTGTTGTTGTTGTTGTTTTTAAAAGCATCTCTGGTGCAAGAGTATTTGATGTATGTTTTTAAAAGTCTTTCATTTTTCAATGGTAATTTCTAACGCTTTAGGGAGCTGGATAAAACGCCAGTGATCATTTAAGATCACCTCATTCTACGTGCTTAAACTGCCACGAGTAAGGGCATTTAGAGATAACTTGAGCTGGATGCAAAAGTCACACTGGCCATCCAACAGGACTAAAAGCGGAAATCAACATTCTCTGCCAAAAGCCTGGGTTTCTTTCAGTGTTTAGGAATCATGACACTGTCCCCCTCCATGTGGCCTCTGAACCTCGCAGGTTAAATTTCTTCTCTCTCTACCTGGGACCTCAAGACAAGTGGCCGCTCTTTGGAACGAGGCAGCATGTCTACTGGGACAGAAAGCTTATTTTACCGGTTTGACACAGGACAAAATCCTTATTCAGGGTTGTGTTAGGACTGTGGAGCAGCGAGAAAAGACTGATGAAGACAGACGTCTGCCGTATGAACTACTGGGTTAAAAGAGACGGATGTGTAGCATTCCAAGGGGATGCTAGGAAAATCCCAACTTTTCGCAGAAAGCAGCCCGGCTGCCATGTACAGCACTCCGTAAGCAGAGATGTATTTAGCTCTGTGTAATTAGGTAGCCCCCCAGGATGGACACTAACAAATTAATAGAACCAACACTTTCCCCTAAAGACCCCACCACCACCGTCACAACAATATAATATAGTACGATAAAAGCTGATCAAAACACTTCCGGTGTAACTTTTCTTAAGAATAGGACAAAAGAAAAAAATCCCTTATGTAGTCTTTTAAACTAGCAGCGCTTCCTTTGCCTCGCCTATCTTCATTTTATTGCCTTTCAGAATAGATGGATATCCCTGAAAGATCGGATTGACAATCTTCTGCTGATAGAGACATCTGATGACACGAGAGTGAGGCAGTTTGTGCAGCTGTGAGCGACGCAGGTACCCCCGGCACCCGCAGGGTTTGCTTCTCTTTCCCCCACTCCGTATCCTGGTCCCCCGACCCCCAGCCCCTCTGCGTCCCCTCTCGGTGTGTCACTTCCCGACTCCGGTGACAGGGTGTGTGATTTCTGAGGCTGGAAATCGAGTGTTCCATCTGCTTTGCCCAAATAGGAAGTGTGTCGGGGAAATCAGGGGGATCGGAGCCCTAGTTTCCTAGTTTCTTTCGGGTGGAAGTCCGCGAGGTCCCGAGGGGACCACCCCCCCGGGGACCCCCCCCCCCAGCCCGGGATCCTGGATTTCTGAGATACCCTATGGTTCGATATTGCTGGAATCTAAGGACAGACAAGCTCGAGAGAACGGAGGATGGCGGGTGACCTAGAGGGGCCGCGTCTACACGGGTGGGCGGGCCAAGAAGGCGAAGGGCGGGCGCCGGGGAGGAGGCGGCCGGGGGCGCGGCGGCCGGGGGCCTCAGAGCCGGGTCTGCGCCTCGGGGATGTAGATCTCGATGCTCTCGGCGCTCTCGGTGGCCGAGTTCTGGCGGACGGACGCGGCGCGCTTGGCGGCCATCAGGCGCTTGCGGGCCTCCTGGCGCTGCGAGCTCTCCAGCGAGCGCTCCCGGATCAGCGGCGCGGGGCCCTTCGCCGGCTTCTTGGGCACTGGAGGAGGGGCCCTTCGCTCCTGATCAAAGCAGAAGGTTCAGGACATTACACAGCTTCTCAGGACAAGCTTGGGAAAAACTGGGATAGGTCAGTAGTTAGAACACTTTTTTTTTTTTTTAAGCCTAAGGGTGGTTAGGTTACTTCTGATCTGCACACTGTATATATATATATATTTACATGTATAGATATGTATATATTTTTTCTTCATTATTCTGGCTTGCGTATTCAAAAGATGCAGGGGGAAAACATACCGGTAAGTTTAAGGCCAAGGGTAAAGCTGGATGGCAGAACTAGGTCTCTCCAAGGGAAGGATGTGGGTATTTAAAATGCGCCCCCCCCCTCCCCCCCGCCGCCTGCTGAAAGGCTGTGGCTCCCAGCACGTTTACTGCGGTTTTCCTCTGGAGGTTCCAGACTGTTCTGGGTGCCAGAGATGGGAAAGGGTGGCAGGGGGCGCCTCTTAGAACTCTGCATCCCCCTAAGGAGGGAGGCGGAGGGTGCGAGCTCGGTTCAGAGTTTAAAAACATCCCCGCCCTCTCCTCGGGCCCACCCAAACCTAAACAACCAAACGAGGAAGAAAATTGTAAGCCTGCGTTTGTTTAGCTTTGCTGATGCCACAGTGAGTTACACCCGTTTGCACATCACACACAAACACACAGCAATGTATTGGGCAGGGTCACCCTGGAGGGAGGACTTGGACAGTTCCTTACCCTCCGGGGTAGTGGAGTCAGCTCCTAAAACAGCCTGCTGGACCGTCACGCCTTAGGGACCTCGGGGCGACTGTGGCGGCCCAGAGGGCAATTCCATCACAGGGACAGACACTGTGCCATGAAAACTGAACACAAGACTGAAAGAGTTCATCCCCCTAGCAGCAGCAAACTAGAAAACGGGTGGCTATTTTTAAATGTCGCTGCAAAAACAGAAGCCATTCATCACTTGGGCTGGAAAAAGTACAGTGGGAAAGAAGGGAATCTAAACCGCAAAGGATTTTTAGGAAAAAGACGGTGAGTTTTCAGGCTGCACAAAGGTCCACGTGAATCTGATGATTTCATTTTTAAATAAAATACCCTAAATTCTCATAAAACTAAATGTGAAAAGTATCTTAAATTAGGGATTCCATGATTCTCCAAAGGGCATTCTCTGTGTTCCTCCTTGCTTGCCTGGGTGAAGCGCCTAGTTAACGTACTGCACTGGAGTTGCCCGCCGGCTGTTTAAGGTGGCGTCTTGTGCGGATAAAAAAGGGAAGCACAGAGTGCAAACCATATTCCGCCAACTCTGATTGTCTTGTTCATTGTTTCCCTTCCAGTTCATGGGGTGATGCAAAGCTCTGATCACAGACAACGTGCATGACGATTTAGAAATCAAGTTAAGTAATGATTTACTGTGTCAATCGGTTACATATATCAATTCTTAGCTTCACTCCTTTTGGACGTTTAAAATCTTCATTGTTGGGCAACTCAGTCGATATTTTTGAAAGTATGAAAGCTGGAAACTTTTTAGGCATATTTTCCTTTCCTTGCACATGTTATTTTTTAACTATAATTTTTTAAAATCCATGAGTGAGAAATTAGATGGATCAGCTCTAGAAACTCAGTTAACGAGTATGTGTGTACATCTGTAGTGTTTTCTTAAAATCAGACCAATTTAAAAGCTTATTTAGCAGATAGTTTTAAACCCAGATTAAAGAAAACTAGATTGAGTGCAAATGTTTGGCTCCCCCAGTGAGAGGCCACACAGACATCAATGGTACTTTGACGCTTCACACCAAAACCCCACAGGTGGATGGTGACAGAATTAGAGATGAGGGACAGTGATGATGAGCGGTGGCCCCTTTGATTATGCACCGGCTATTGGCACTGGATTTCTCCTGGGAGCCCATCGACTCCAAGAACCCTGGTATTATAATGGGCAGCAGCAGATGGATTGAACCGCTGCTTGCTCTCTGATAGGTGAAGGGATCAGAAAAGGGCATCACAAGTATAGCTGTGCCTAATATTTAGAAGTTGAATCTCTCAGGGACATGTGACCTCAGGCCATAGGAAAGCAAAGGGTTAAAAAAGTCATGCATGCCTGGCCAGCCTAGGGAGGTGGACATTGGATACCTGGGCAAGCCTGGTGGACCCGCCATAATCAAATGTGAAAATTGCCATTTATTAATTCAAGTAAAAGAATTTGAGTCTTTACTTCTAAGCTCTCGCATGAGGAACCCAGTGAACAATATTCCCCAAGGCAAATCAACCAATAGTAAAACTCTTAAAAAAAAAACCCAACATTTATGATTACTGTGAAACTTTATGGTGTGTATATTTTTAGACTTGAACAACAGTGGTTTCTTTATTACTATATTTATGAAATGATTATCAAAGTCGGTTAGTTTGCAGGCCTTCCTATTTTCTCGGAAACACATTCTAGGGGTGTAAGGAAGTTGAACTCTTGCTGTATGTAATCATGCACTGAAGATGTCATTTATTTTAGTTTAAAAAGCAAAATGGAGGCAGTTCCTTCCAGTGACTAAAATGGTTTAACTTAAAGTTTAATTAACAAAAAAAGCCACATTCCCATTTTCCAATTCACAAAGACAGGTTTTTCTTTAAAAATATGCCTGAAACATATTACAGATAATATCCCAAATGATTACTATGTAAACATTGTCATTACAATGAAATTAATATGATATCAGCTCCATTTCACATTGTAAACAGCAAGACTGAAAGCAGAAGCCTATTTAGACTGTCCAGTGTTTGTGCAGGTTTTTAAATGAACCATACAAAATCTACATTGTTCTACCTTCTTGTCAAGAGGATCCATCTGTTTCCAATTATTGGCCTTTAACTGATGAAGTTCATCAAATTTCATACTAATATTTTCTATGGACAACTGCAGCATGTCCCAGAACCCCGCCAAATCCTGGGAGGTGGGCCTTGGATGAGCATTGGGATTCTGTACAAGAGAAAGAAAAACATTCACGCTTTAGAGGTGATGATCTAGGACAACAAGCACAGGACCAAGGTGGCATTTTCAAATATTTCAAATAACGCAAGGAGGATGAGTTCCTTTTGGTTTTCAGATAGGAGAGAAAAGTGAGGCTATCGATGGCCCTGTTATTTATTTATTTTATATTTTATAAAATATATGTCTTATATTTATAAGACATTGTATATATGTCTTATATACATATTCACCTTTATTAAGGAATAATTGACAAATAAAATTGCAAAATATTTAGAGTGTACAACGTGATGATTTGATATATACACACATTGTGAAAGGACTCCTCCATCGAGTTAAGTAACACATCATCACCTCTTGTACTTATCTTTGTGTGTGTGTGAGAACATTTACGTTCTACTCTCTTGGCGAAGCCCAGTTATGCAATACACTGCTATCAACTATAGTCACCATGTTCTAATTAGATCTGCAGACCTTATTCATTTTATAGCTGAAAATCTGTACCATGTTACCAACCTCTCCCTGTTTCCCCCACACCCAAGCCCCTGGCAACCACGTTTATACTCTCTCTGAGTTTGGTTTTTAAAAAAAGATTCCACTGCAAATGATAAGTTTATACACTCATCTTATACACATTGGAGTCAGTGATTCTCAACGTCAAAGTAAAATTCTTCTTTTGGTAATATAACATCCATCAGTACGCTATGGCAGGGAGTCTATAAACATTTGAAAAATCCCAGAATGTATGATCTATGACAAGATGCATTTAAAGCTATATTTAAATGAAAATACCTTCTTGCAAAAAAAAAAAAAAAAAAATACAGCGTATTGGTACTAGAGTCAGTATTCAACTCCATGCCATCCAACATACTCAGAGAACATATAAGGAATCTAAAGATTCATTTTAATACTCATGTTGAGTGAAAATACTACGGCAAACAAGTGATAAGTAATAAAAGAACTGGATTTTCAAACTACTGTGTGTTTAACAATTAAGATATCTCTACTGTAGGAAGTCATGTTATCATATAAGTACTTGGACAAAATCATTTGGAAACGAATTAGTTTTAAATTGACCATAACGTAACACGGCAAATGTGAGAACACTTGTCTATACATACACATAGATGTCTGTAGTGACCCATTTGTTAGATAATATTAAACATTCTTTGGTTTGTGGATTGACTTTCTTTGCCCTCATTCACATATCCCTGACAAGTACTAGAAGGTATGAACCACTCATTTATATGGTCTGAGACAGAAAAGACACAACTAAAGACTGAAGGTGTTGTGTTCATCGCTGGTTACTACCTGCAACGGTAGCTAAAGGCATTCATGGGCAGATGGGTGGGACACCCATTTGCCAAAAGTTTCTAGCAGGGGTCCATTTTGGTTACCTCTGGGAATCTGGGCAATTGGAAAGACTGTGAAGTCTCACGCCATATAATAACTGGAGGCCAGTTTGTACTTTTAAAACCAACCCTATGAAAATATCATCAGAATTTCAGGAAGCTCAAGGTTGGTGACCATCAAAGTTAATAAGTTGGAAAGAACGTTTTAGCCCTTTCATGGACTAGCATTATTGGTCTGGCTTCAAAATAAATACAAGTAAAGACTATATTTATAAACTTACACTTTTAAAACTACCCATTGATCATTGGAATAAGTAAGTTCTAAAATTTGTAAGTATTTGGGTCAGTGTTAAACTCTATTCTAATGACATCTGAATTAACAAGAGGGTTTCTCTGTAGTACTTTGATTTAGTAAACTAAAAAGAAAGTTTCTTAATATCTAGGTTCAGAATAGACAGATAATAACTTTGACAAAGTACTTGTCAAATGGAGTTTTATGATCTCGCAATATATTGCCTTATGTTATTGGTAACTAAAAGCTAAATTGCTCATACTTTGAAGTTCACCAAAGTCTTTTAGGTCACAAGCTCTGTTGGTTAAACTGTTTTAGTGCATCAGTAGATGAAATGATAGAGGTCATTTAACTCTGTAACACGGGCAATTTGTTCCTTTCCCACCAAGGCTCTCTTTGCTGCCACATCATCCAGGGGATGGATGGGGAAGCAGAGGGAAAGA